TGTGTTTGCTGTTAAGTTATGTGGCCTAGAAGCTTATATACATATATTGAAGGATGATGATCTTTTGACATTTTATGACTAATAAAAGGCTTGACAATCTTAATTTCAAGCAAGGGATTTCTAATGAACTACACGTGTTTTTTTAACCTTAGTGATTGTAATGCTGAAATTTAAAATATTAGGAATAACATATCAAATAAATCAACAAGTTATTAGTTTCACACAAATTTTATGTTATTAGAATCCTACAATTTTGACTCAGTCAGTTTCCTTCATATTCCATGCAGATGGGGGGGGGGGGGGTCTTTCAAGTAAAAACCGGACTGGTATTATAAAGTGAATCTCCCTAATGTGGACACACAAAAAGCAATGAAAACTGGCAGGTGTTCTAATCCATCTCTACTCCATCAAAAACTAAAAAAAAGGTTTTGCCTATTGGTTTTATACTATATAGGAAAGTTGTATGTTGCCTTATTAGATGCTGTAATAATAAGACAGTGTAGTACTTCCTTATTAGAGAATTGAAATCCCAACCAAATTATTCTATGTGTTCCTCCCAAGAACTTCTGCTCTCCCAACTCCCGCATCACACCTCCTCCCATGCTCACCTCCAGGACTCCTTTGGAGCCTCTTCCATCTTTGAAGTTTTTTTGCCCCAATCTGTCCACTATTCCTTACTCTGACCACCTTTAGACAATCCCTAAAAAAAGCTTTATCCTGCCTTCCCCTAATAACTAAACTTTTATTTTCATCCCCCCACAGTTTATTACCTTTTATATCGCTGACCCTCCATTTTAGATTTTAAGCTCTAACAAGCAGAGCCATCCGATTCCTTTGTATTGATTGTATTGTAACTGATCTGTCTGCTCTCATCTTGTAAAGTGCTGTGCAAACTCTTGGCATTATATAAATCGAGTATTATAATAAATAATACTCACTCATCTCTCTAAAGCTTAGCATCTGACGTAAACATATCATTTAAGCCTTTTTGATTCTTTTCAACCTGAACACTAAATACTTTTTTGTAACACTTTTTTGCATATTATTAGAATACGTTTCATAAGTGTGATTTCCAAAGTTGACTATATTATTTGAGCTGTGATGAACTACGTATTTGCATGAGAATTCAATTATTTTTAAATTTTCAGTCATCTGAAAAAACTGGCAATTTTATTTTTTAAATTGAAAAGATTTTAACTTGAACAAAGGGTTGGCTAAAGAGAGAGTACAATGGAAATTGTATGCTTTTGGATATGCTGTCTATGACTGAAAATGTGGATTGCGCCATAGGGTGGGTAGGTGGGTGGGATATATGTCACTATTCTGGCTCATTTACCTGTAATTGTAAGCTTCAGCTATTAAGCCAAACATACAACAGAGCAGATAAAAAAGCCTAGACACATGAAAAGGAGCCAAACATTCCACCTGCTGGTTTCATGAAAGTATAAAATGTTGTGATTTTCTGGTGTAACCTGAAAAATATATAATCTTCTTTTCTTATCTTCTTTTTAGCTTACCATACTAAATACTAAAATAAATAAATAACACTTTTTTTCATTGACATAATATTTTGGTTTTATTTTTTAAAGTGATTGCAAAGGGAAAATGTTTATATTTACCTGCTTTGTGCAATGGCTTTGCCCAGAGCAGCTCTGATCCTTCTATCCTTGGGTCCCCCACCAGTGCTCCTGCTCTCCCCCCCTGCTAAGTGCTCCCATAACAGGCTGATTGCTATGGGGGGCACTCATGTGGGCTCACTCCCGAGCCATGTTCTGTGTGTCCATTAGACATGTACGTTTCCTTATGTAACAAATTGATTTTCAGATGAAAATTAGATTTTTGGAGATTCATATGTACACGAATCTCCGAATGGACATAGTAATGAATGTCAATGCATCCGAAAAAAGTTATAACAAAATTACAAAATACATGAATTTTATCCATTTCATTCACACAACGTCACTTCATGCAATAGTAGTTTAAGGCCTCTGAGGAAGAGGCAAGTCCTCGAAACGCGTCAGTTTTTTGGATGTCTAAACTCTCTATTGCGGACTGTTACTCAGCGCGCTGTTGACCCAGCTGTTTCTTTATGATGTGCCTTGACTCTATTGTCGTTTGTGAGTACAACACATACTTTATTATTTTTTATTAAACATTTTTTATGGTAATGCACTAGGCCTGTGCGCCCTCTGTTTTGTCTTTCCTCATTCAGTATATGTGGATCCCCAGGTCCATTTGAGGGCAGCAAGGTGTGCATGTTCCAGGACATTCCTTATGTGGTTGTAGCCTGCATCGAGTCCATCCCAAGCGCAGGAGCATTTGTGTTTGTTAGTAGTTAAGGCCCATTGGGAAAGGAATGACATTTTTAAAATTTGTTTGCTAATTCAGATTCAAGAAAATGTGTGATTTCAATTGAATTGTAAATGTGCCACACTCAGTCAGTTCAAGTCCACAGACTAATGCAGTTCTTAGGTTTGAATAATCAGGGCTGCGGAATTTTGCATTATTTATTCCGTTCCATCCGAAAATGTGGAATAGTTTTCAATATATATGTATATCGAATCCACCCTAAATATATAATAGCAATATTCCAAAAAAAACTTGCGCATAATTTTTTTTAATCCACATCTGGACCAATGAATATATGAATAGAATGTCGAAGATACGAAAGGAATTCCGAAAACAAATTGCTTTAACATAATGAATATGACGAAACAAGATTCTTCAATGAATTAATGCATCCGAAACAAAATGAAACAAAAGTTTCTGGTGTGCACATGTCTAGTGTCCATTGACACAGAGAGTGGGGCTTGCCCCGAACCCCTGATCCCTCCTCACTGCCTGTGATTGACAGTAGCAGGATCCAATGGCTCCTTCTGATGGATCTGAACCATTGAGGAGAAAAGCAGTGATGCTGCTCTCGTGCACAGAACCAGATTGAAATTAAGTTTGGGTAAGTATTGGGGGGGGACTACACTAAACAGGGTTTTTACCCTAAATGCATAGAATGTATTAAGGTAAAATACCTCATGGCTTTAGAACCACTTTAAATTTGACTATTTCAGAAGAAATCAAAGAATGTGCAGATAATGACTTTATCTCATTTATTTATTATTCAAATGTATACAATACATTTGGAAAACATTTTTTTCACTGACTTTTTAATTTCCCTGTTGTTCAGGCTGTAGATGAGGGGGTTTAACATTGGGCAAACAATCACATAGAAAACAGAAATGTATTTGCTTTGGTTAGAGGAGTACAGTGATGAGGGACCAAAGTATGTAAACATTCCAGTGCCGAAAAACAAAAAACACTACAACCACATGAGAGGTGCATGTTGATAAAGCTTTATATTGTCCAGAAGTGAATCTTTATTACAGAGGATAAAAATGTAAGCATATGAGAACAGGATTAGCATGAATGGGAATAGAAGTGACACAAAAGTTAGAGAAAAAATTTCCAACTCATTCATAGAGATGTCGGCACAAGATAGCTTAGTGACAGCTAGAATCTCACACATGAAGTGGTTTGATGCGGTTTTCATGACATAACTTCAGGGGCGTTGCCAGAGATGGGACAACATTTATCATGAAGCTGAAGAACCACGCAAAGGCAGTCAGGCTGTAACAAACGCTCCATTTCATAAGAAGGCGATAATGAAGAGGGACGGCAGATGGCCAAAACCGGTCATACGCCATGAGGGCAAGGAGTTGGCATTCTGTTCCTCCCATGAACACTATGATGTAGAGTTGGATGCCACAAGCAAAGTTCGAAATTGTTCTTTGAACAGAGAACAAGTCAACGAGTAGTCGTGGAACAGCCGTTGAGGAATAGCAAAGATCTATCAAGGACAAATTGCATAGAAAAAAATACATTGGAATATACAAGAGGGAGTTCAACAGAATTGTACATGTTATAAGACCATTTCCAATAATAGTTATAAAAGATAGATTATCAGAAACAGAAAAAACAAGGCAATGTTTATCTTTAGGTTTTTGGAGAATCCAAGGAGAACAACTTCATTGAAAAATGATTGATTTCTTACATCCATTCTATTGTGAATTGTATGACTGATGGATATTATCTTGGCACCCTCTAGTCCAAACACCATAGTGTCACCAGTATGATTGCATGTACTGTATTTAAATAATTACTTCTGATTACAAAGTCCAGCATCACATGAAACCTTAATGTTTTTACATAGCAACAAAAAATAAAAGCAAAAAACAAGCACATATTGTTAGACAATTTACAAAGATAATAAAATATATCTCAGAAATACTGCTTGTTTTGTGGAGTCACATCAGAGAGGCAGCAGGAGCTTAGAGAGGTAAGCAAGTGGGGCTAAGGCGCTGATGTAGGAAGGAGAGTTTTGTGTTTGTGGAAAACCGGGCTGATTTTGTGGTTGGTTACCAGCTCTATAGCAGACACTTTACAATTTAGTATATTGAGGGACGGATTATATACCAGTGTGTCTCAACCTTCCCTAATGCCGCGACCTTTTAATACAAGTTCCACTCATGATTGTGGTGACCCCCCCAACTTTAAAATTATTTACCCAGTAATTATAATTCATGAACTGTCGTTTTACCTCCAATACTGCTGCTTTCAACACAGCACACAGCTGCTTTTCTACACAGTAGCTGCTCTTTACCACCATCGGAACAAATATGTGCTTTTCCGAAGGTCTTAGGTGACCCCTGTGAAGAGGGTCGTTCGACCCCCAAAGGGGTCGCAACCCACAGGTTGAGAACCACTGGATTAGACAAAGGTATAGGAACCGTGCAACCGAACAAGGGTCAGATGTTCAGATGTGGGGCAAACGCAGGGGGATAGGGGCGACTCAAGCCAGATGATAGAGAAACGAAACTGTGAAAGGATTAAAGTAATATACATTTGTACAAAAATTTAACAAGCATGTACAAAAATGTTAGAGAAGTGTTAATAAATTGGAAGTACTACTTTATCAGAAACCTGGTGTAACTGGCTGAACTTGACTGGAGTTTTAAACTATTCCAGTGGGAAAGGGTGTTTAGGGTATATTAGAAGGAGGAGGAAGGGTTGTGCCTGTCTGCTAGGAAGTGATTTTGATGGGGAATAGGAGCTAGTAAGGAGTGGAGGCTTTAATGGTTGGAGCTTTCACAGGGACAAAAAGAACGTTTAATTAAAAGGGGTATTGATAGGATATAGGGGGAG